CGCACACAGGCTTCTTGGTGGCGGCAGCAGCGGCCTTAGCGTCTCATGTCTGTCTCTGGGGTCCGCGCTGTTAGCCGCAGCTCACACCCGTCTCTGGAGCTCCTTTAAACAGCGCTCTTAAACCCCTCTCCTCGCGCACCAGGAAATAAAGAGGGAAGAAAAAGTCTCTTGCCTCTTCGTCAGGTCCAGACTTTTCCCCGGACTCCCTCCTGGCTAGCCGCGGTGCAATAACGCCCTGCAGGCTGTGTTCACGCCGCCAACCCCAGTCCTCTCCCTGCGCTCCGACTGAAGCAGGAGCCTCAGCTCCCAGCCCCGCCCGCCCCGGCGGGTGAGCAGACAAGCCTCTCGGCTGGTGAGTGCCGGTCGGCCCTGATCCTCTGTGCGGGAATCTCTCTGCTTTGCCCTCCGCACCCCTGTTGCTGTGCTCTCCTCTGTGGCTCCGAAGCTCCCCCACTCCGCCACCCGCAGTCTCCGCCCGCGAAGGGGCTTCCTAGTGTGTGGACACTTTTCCTCCTCCACAGCTCCCTCCCGCTGGTGCAGGACCCGTCCCTATCCTTTTGTCTCTGTTTATTTTTTTCTTTTGCCCTAACCAGGTACGTGGGGGGTTTCTTGCCTTTTGGGAGGTCTGAGGTCTTCTGCCAGCGTTCAGTAGGTGTTCTGTAGGAGTTGTTCCACGTGTAGATGTATTTCTGGTGTATCTGTGGGGAGGAAGGTGATCTCCGCGTCTTACTCTTCCGCCATCTCCCCGGAAGTCTAGGGTATCCTTTTTGGTAGGTTTCAGCATCTTTTTCTTGATGGTTGTTCAGCAGTTAGTTGTGATTCTTTTGTTTTTGTAAGAAGAGGTGAGCCCACGTCCTTCTACTCCACCATCTTGTCTCTGTCTCCCAAGATTGGATTTTTCCCAGGATCTTTTATATATACTGAAAGCTCATGAAAAAGTGTTCTTATGAAACAAATTATGATGGCTTTATCCCAGCTGAAGAAGAGAAAATTGTGGAATAAGCACTTGCTTTATGTGCAACCAGGCATCCACTTTGCACCACTTCTGAACAGTCCACCCCACGGCCCCTCGCAGATTCTTCTGACTCCTTCTTGTCTGTCAGACCTGCACACTGGCCGCTCTGGGGTCCCCGGAAGTGCACCCCAGGAACTCAAAAGCCCCCAGTTTAAATTTCAGCCTTTACCAAAGGAATATGTTCAGAATAGTAATAGAATTCTTATTAATATTAAATTAATATGCATGAAACAGGAAGATCTAAGGTTTTCAGCTTAAATGTACAGGGAGGTTTCATTTTCCATTTCTGAGTTTAGACTTCAAATAAACCCATGCAACTTAGTTATGGTTGCACAAGCAGATCTTAGGCGATGGTCTTTCATGTCACTGGCTAAAGCAAAACTTTCTTTCATTTTGGTAAAACCACATTCTAATTTCTGTATTTATTTTGTCATCTTCGTCAGTGGTCACGGGTTGTGTAACTTCATCTATTTGTTTACCAAATGTCTCTAATGGCTTACTGCCTGCTGGGTATCAAACTAGGCACTGAGATCTATCAGTTAATGGGATCATCATGGCCCCTGCCCTCAAAGAGCCTCACTCTATCCCGTGTACAACCTGATGCTGGACTGCAAGCCATATGGAAATATGGGGAAACTGGGGAGCTTACCCATAGTCAGGGGTACTAGCAAAACAAATTACTACATGAAATTGTGAAAAGTTTATTGGAGATCACTGACAGTGGAGGAGTGTTTACACATGCCTTGGTTGGGTTACAGTCACCTTTTCTGGAAAAACAGAGCGGACAACCTTTTTAGAAGTTTAAAATTTTTGTTTATTTGTTTCATCTGTGTATTACATAAAAATCTTTCTTGGTTTTCAAACATAATAATGACTTCATTGGCCAATTGTCTGGCTTGCTTTTTTCCAGAAGTTGGGATAAATTGCTCCATTCTGTCCACATTCTCCTCTCTGGTTTCTTTGACAACTGACATCATCAGACACTTGATTTGGAATTCAAGAGAGAGTTAGGGTAGAGACCATTAAAAAGAGAGAAGCTAATTACCTCGTCCATGTGGACTTCAGATTTATGTGAATATGGATAAAATAATACAATCAGGAGGGAATGATCTAGATAAGCAACCTGAGAGGTGGCAAGGATAAAGGAAAGAACTTGGGCATCACATTGACCACTTTTATGTGATCTTGGCCAAGTTACTTGAACTGTGTGATTCTTGGTCCTCTCACCTGTGCAATGTGGGTAGTAATATGTATCACATAGTGCTGTTGTAAGGATTAAAGTGAGATCATTTATGTGATGTGCTGCAGGTCTGTATATAAATGGCCTTAGCATACAGAGAAATACCTTGAGGTGACTCCTGTGTGTCAGTCCTACCTAGGGTGTGTGTGGTCTAATCTCCTCCAATCTCTTACATGTTAACACAGTTACTAATGGTTAATCATTGTCTCATAAGTTAGGAGAGGCTAGGTTATGCTGCAATATCAAGCCATCCCTAAGTCTCAGTGGCTTTCAAAAAGAAACTACAGGGTTTTTTTTCCCACTTAAGCAAAGGCCACTGAAGGTCTGTGTGACTCTTCAGGGAAGCTATCCTCCTTCGATGGCTCAGCAAGATGCCTCCTATGGAAGTAGGTTTCCATGACACTGAGGAAGGAGAAGAGGGTCCTGTAACTGAGGACCAGTGGTTAGCTGATTTGACTCAGATATGAAATGCCATGTCCGCTCACTTTACATTGGTAAAACCAACACATATGGCCATGCCTAAACTCAAGGAGCTAAAGAAATGCAACCCTCTGTGTTCCCAAAAAGAGGACCAGAAATATTGGTGAGCAGCACTGATGCCTATCAGTCTACCATGGTGAATGATCTCTAACCAAGGAAGCACCGGGGTGGCGGCTAAAAGTTACTGGAAAACTTAGTAGAATTCTAAACCTCGCAAACTGTATAAAACCTTTAGTGGCCACGACAGTGGCTTCTGAAAATGGTATTTGTTTCAGAATAGCAAGGCTGTTTCTTTATTTATATTGCCATTAGCATGCTTTCTCTTCCCCATTTTTCATCTTTTCTGCACTTCTGTGACTAAGAGAAGTGGCAATGAATAGTACAAAGCACATAGTGAGTGCTTACAACTCATTTGTTGATTAATTCTAACCATCGTAAAGAAATCACATTTGTAAGGGCAATGAATTGATATGTTTCCTGCCCGAAGTCACAAGGCAGTGAGGGAGCCAGAAAGAGACGTTCATGCTGACTGTCATTGGCCACAAGGGTACATTTATTACTTCCTCGAGAAAAGCTGAGCCCAGAAAAGTTATTCATGTTTGTTGGCAGTTTCCAAAGATGACTGCCACTTTTAGCCTTAGACTGTAGTCATGCCCAGAATGTTAGGAGCAATGATGGTACAAAACAATGTCAGACTCAATTAAAAGATCCTGGGCTTCCCTGGTGGCGCAGTGGTTGAGAGTCCGCCTGCCGATGCAGGGGGACACGGGTTCGTGCCCCGGTCCGGGAGGATCCCACATGCCGCGGAGCGGCTGGGCCCGTGAGCCGTGGCTGCTGAGCCTGCGCGTCTGGAGCCTGTGCTCCGCGGCGGGAGAGGCCATAGCAGTGAGAGGCCCGCGTACCGCAAAAAAAAAAAAAAAAAAAGATCCTGACGGTAGGTCACTCCCCAGTGTCTATGCGAAGAAAGTACAAAACTACTACCCATCATTCAAAAGTCAGCTCAAATGTCACTTCCTCTGTAAAGCCATTGCCCGTCCCCAGTCGGAATTGATAGTTTCTATAGCTTCTTATACTCCTAGTGCTAGATAGTCATATTTATAGCATTTCCGTATCCTTTACTGGACTTTGACCTCCATGAGGACACAGATCTGAGATTATACAGACTTATTGCCCCCAGCACCCAAGAGACTTCTTAGACAAAAGAAAGACAAAATGACTCTTCGCTGAATTGAAGCCCTGCATTCACTTCAAAAATCCAAACTGTAGGGCTTCCCTGGTGGCGCAGTGGTTGAGAGTCTGCCTGCCGATGCAGGGGACATGGGTTCGTGCCCCGGTCTGGGAAGATCCCACATGCCGCGGGGCGGCTGGGCCCGTGAGCCATGGCTGCTGAGCCTGCGCGTCCGGAGCCTGTGCTCCGCAACGGGAGAGGCCACAACAGTGAGAGGCCCGCATACCGCAAAAAAGAAAAAAAAAAAAAATCCAAACTGTAGTACTTGCCTCACCCCTTGCTGCGTTTTAAAATTGCAAACCAACATCTATAGGCAAAGAAGGAAGACGGGGACAGTCTGTGTTTGTAATCTTGGTCCAAAACACACATCATGCCAAAGAGAGAATTTGATTCCATTTCTGAGCCGAGGTCTCAGGTCCAATTTAATTAGATCCCCAAATGACCAAGCTGATTGTCAGCTCCAGCCTTTCTTCACTGTAAACCTTAATCCCTCCTAATATGCCATGAAATTAGTGGGAGTTGACTGTTCTAGGCATGAAAAACATAGGTCTTGTTCAAACCTCCCCAGGCCTTACTGAGGCAAGGAGGGAATGGGGCTCGAAGCCCTGGAGAGGAGCAGGTGTCCTGAGGATTAGGTCACATGGGGGAAAGGGGGCTGCAGTAGGTAGGCAGCTGGTGCGGTCCCAGGTGTGTGCGAGTTGGCAGGGATACAAAGACAGGAGAGCTGCAAACAGCTCAAAGTCCCTGGGCTGTGCAGCTGCTTGTTTGGCACTTGCACGGGACCCACCTGTAGTGTTGGTGGGCACAACCCATTCACAGGAGCAGGGAAACATGAAAGGTCCCCAGTGAGCTGTGGCGGCCCTGCCCGTCCCAGGCAGAAGGCTGGAGGAAGCAAGCCTGCCTGAGGACTTCTGGGTAAAGCATCTCTCTTGCACTTTGCAGCCTCCCCAGGCTTAAGACAAGGCAGCTCTGGCTTTCCTTTTTCAAACGATGGCCCTGAGAGGACTAAAATAAAGATAATTATTTTTTTTCCAATCAGGGGGCTTGTTCCCAAGTACACCTAGAAAGTAAGTGAAAAACTCCCCAAGCTGGAGAGTAAGTCAACAGGCAGAGATACTCAAGGAAAAAAACAGGCTCAAGGCCGAGTAGCAAAAATAAATGATCATCCCCTCTCCTGGGCTGCAGGGAGCTCATGTAAACAAACTCATCATAACAAGCCTTTCTTAATCTGTTTCTGTCCCGCTGCTAATCGCTTCTGTAGTTTTTGCAGGATAGAATGCATTCTTGGTGCTGAGGCTAGTGTTTCAGATTTAGTTACTGTGAATTATGGAACGTCTCTTGATCTCTGAGGACAAGAGGGGACTGATGGCCACAAACCCAAATGACTGTTGTTCATTCAAGGTGAAATAGCAATCTCTCTCCAGCGTACCAGCTTGTAGAGGGTGGTAACCTCTTCTCTCCATATTAAGCCAGCCTCCAGAACAATTATGACACAGGTTAAGGCCATCTTGACCACTTACTGCTCTACTTTGGTATCTCCCATCTCTGCTTTTAAGCGCAAATAGCAGAACCTGCCAATTTCCCTGCACACAGCGTCCATCCCCCTGTTCCTCTTATTAACAGAATCCCAGCTTCTGGGCAAGGGGACAACGGCAGTGTACACAGTTAACACATACTTACAGCAAGATTCTGTAGCATCTGGGCATGGCTGTGTGTCATTTATTGTCAAGGAGATACAAGCAGAGGATGTCTGGGAAAGATAAAGGCCCCACCCATTCTGGATTCACCCATTTTTCCTACCTGGCATGCAGATGTGGCATATAGAGTACATCTTGCTCCCAGGAAGATGAAAGTCACATGCTGAAGATGTCAGAGCAGGGGGAGAGAAGCAGTCGGCATCCTCAGCATTGCTGAGCCAGGGTACCAGCCCCAACTGCTCAACCCTGGGCTTCCTGTAAGAGAGGATAACCCCTGTGGTTCCCATACTCCAGTGGGCATCTTAATCATCTGGAGGGCTCATTAAAACACAGGTTTCTGGGCCCCTCCCCCAGAGTATCTGATTTAGAAGGTCTGGGGTGGGGCCTGAAACAAGTTCCCAGGTGCTGCTGATTCCGCTGGTCAGAGACCAGCCTTTAAGAACCACTTGGATAACTGAACTCCTATCTGTTGAGGCCACTGTCTTTATATATTCATAGCTGAATACAGTCCCAACTGATACACTGCCTTCTAACCCCTCAATAGCCAAACAGCTCACCTAGTCCTTTACCTCTGAAAAGGGGCTGAAACTTAGTTAATCACAAGGCATAAATAACCAATGAGGTTTACAATCTATTAAGATTCTCATCAGAGAGATATCATTAGGTCAAAGAAAGGAATCTCTGCGTTTGACTTTGAGGCATCATTGGAGCTAATTGGAAGAGAGATTTTGGAGCAGAAAGGCTTACCTGGAATATCTGAAATTACACCAGATGCTTACCTTTTATACTTACAAGTGGATTTTCTCTGGCACTCTTTCTAGAGACCATTAGCCTAAGGCTGTAGGGTACATTAGCTATGGGACTTGGGGCAATTATTTTTTAATTAAAATTTTTTTCATTCTTTTTCATATTCTTTTCCACTATGGTTTCTTACAGGATGTTGAATATAGTTCCCTGTGCTCTACAGTAGGACCTTGTTGTTTATCCATCCTATATTTAATAGTTTGTATCTGCTAATCCCAGCCTCCCACTCCATCCCTCCTACACCCTCCCTCCCCTTGGCAACCACAAGTCTGTTCTCTATGTCTGTGAGTCTGTTTCTGTTTTGTAGATAAGTTCATTTGTGTCATATTTTAGATTCCACATATAAGTGATATCATACAGTATTTGTCTCTTTCTGACTTACTTCACTTAGTATGATAATCTCTAGGTCCATCCATGTTGCTGCAAATAGGAAAATTTTGTTCTTTTTTATGGCTGAGTGGTATTCCATTATGTGTGTGTATACATACATACATATACATACAAAAACCACATCTTTATCCATTCATCTGTGGATGGACATTTAGGTTGTTTCCATGTTTTGGCTATTGTAACTAGTGCTGCTATGAACACAGAGGTGCAGGTATCTTTTCAAATTATAGTTTTGTCTGGATATATGCCCAGGAGTGGGATTGCTGGATCATATGGCAACTCTATTTTTAGTTTTTTGAGGAACCTACATACTGTTCTCCATAGTGGCTGCACCAGTTTACATTCCTACCAACAGTGTGGGAGGGCTCCCTTTTCTCCACACCCTCTCCAGCATTTGCTATTTGTAGACTTCTTAGTGATGGCCATCCTGACCAGTGTGAAGTGATACCTCATTGTAGTTCTGATTTGCATTTCTCTAATAATTAGTGATGTTGAGCATGTTTTCAGGTGCCTATTGGCCATCTGTATGTCTTCTTTGGAGAAATGTCTATTTAGGTCTTCTGCCTATTTTTTGATTGGGTTTTTTTTTTTTTGATATTGAGCTATATCAACTGTTTGTATATTTTGGAAATTAAGCCCTTGTTGGCTGCATCACTTGCAAATATTTTCCCCCAGTCCATAGGCTGTCTTTTCATTTTGCTTATGGTTTCCTTGGCTGTGCAAAAGCTTGTAAGTTTGATTGGGTCCCGTTTGTTTATTTTTGCTCTTATTTCTATTGCCTTGGGAGAGTTACCTAAGAAAACATTGGTACGATTTATGTCAGAGAATGTTTTGCCTATGTTCTTTTCTAGGAGTTTTATGGTGTCATGTCTTATATTTAAGTGTTTAAGCCATTTTGAGTTTATTTTTGTGTAGGGTGTGAGGGAGTGTTCTAACTTCACTGATTTACATGCGGCTGTTCAACTTTCCCAACACCACTTGCTGAAGACACTGTCTTTTCCTCGTTGTATATTCTTGCCTGCTTTGTCGAAGATTAATTGACCATAGGTGTGTGGGTTTATTTCTAGGCTCTCTATTCTGTTGCATTGATCTGTATGTCAGTTTTTGTGGACTTGGGGCAAATCTTTTTTTAAACTAAGGAGAAAACTTTATTTCTTTTTTTGGGGGGGGGAGGTTAAGAAAAATTTAATTTGGAAACATTTTCAAACTTACAAAAATGTTAGGAAAATAGTAGAAAGAACTCTCATATACCCTTTACCCAGATTCTCTAATTATTAACGTTTTGCGCCATTTGCTTTATCATTCTCTCTCTATATGCATATTTTTCTGAGTCACTTCAGATTAAGCTGACATTATGCCCCCTTACACCTAAATCTTTCAATGTATATTTCCTAAGTATACGAACATCTCTTATATTATCCCAACACAATGATCAGCTTCAGGAAAATTAACCTAACATATAATACTTTACTCTACCACTCATAATTTTGGGGGCAAATTTTTTTAACTTCCTTGAACCTCAGTTTTCTCATCTATAAAACTGTAACGATAATACTCCTCACACAGGCTTGCTGTGAGGCATGAGTGATGTTGGGGAATTTGAGACAACCTCAGTGTCCATCAATGAGAGGATGGACAAGATGTGTGGGTGAAAATCACAGAATATCATGTAGCAGTCAGAGCAATAGAATAGCTGCACACATAGCAAGACCTTGAAAACACAGTGCTTAGTGAAAAAAGGCATATAATGCAAACATTTTATGAACTAAAGAATTAAAAGTAGATACATATCAAATACTACCCATCCTGCAGAATATAAACAGATATATATTAAATATATTAGATCGGTTGTCTGGGAGGGGGAGGGAATGGCAGTATGATATGGATATGAAAGTTTTTTTTTAAACGAGTACCTATCAGATTAACAAAAATCAGTGTCTGACAATACCAAATTTTAATGAAAACATGTAAGAAAAGGAGCTCTCATACCCTGATGATAGGTGTGTAAATTGGTACAAGACATTGATGTAGTCTACTAGTTATCCCAATATCCGTTTCCCCTTCTTCTGTTACCGAGCAGGGTTCCTGGCCTCCTTAAAGAATAGAAATTGATCAGAGGCCGGACAAGAAATCCAGGCAAGGCTTTATTGGGGCCCCTGCTGCAGCAGGGGGGAGTGAGAACAAACAACAGGTTCCCTTGCTTGCTCGCTTGCTGAGGGGGGCAGCAGGCTGGGTCCTTGTATGGGGTGAGGGTAGGGGTGTGTCCAGGGGTCAGGCTGGAGGCGTGGCTTAGGTGGTTTGCCCAACCCTTTGGTGGTGCTGTGTGCAGGGCACATGCACAGTACCCTGCTTGTGCTCCCAACCCTCTGCTTTTGTTCCCAGCGTTTCAGAAGTGGCAGTTGGGCTTTTGGGGTTTTTTTTTTGTATCTTGTTGTCCAGAATTTGCCCCAATTGCACATGTACACAGTTATTTTTAGTACTCAAGGAGACATCTGTCCAGGTGCAAGCATTGCAGCACTGCAGCAAAGTGTCCCAGGTCCCAGCCTGTTTCACTTCTACGAAGTTGAACCCTGATTCTTTAACTTGGCCCATGGCCACTCAGAATAACTCTCCATTTCCCAGACTCCTTTGAAGCTAAGTGTGGACATTTGAATAAGCTCTGGCCAATGGTATGTGATTGGAAGCATCATTTGACATTTCTGGGAAGTGTTATTAAATGAAAGGGGGGGGGGTCTCAATATATGACTTGGGACAAAAGAGGCGGGCAGAGAGACATGGAAATAATCTGTAATGGCTAAAGTCTCCCCCTTAGCTGACCCAGCCCCAAACTGAGCAGCAAGTAATCCATAATACTCACTTTATTCTTAAAGGAAGAGGGAAATAGGCCTGCAATACACAAAATGATCATACAGTATGTAACTTAGCACCGGTATTGCAACGCCCTAAGAGGATGAAACTGTTAGAAAGGGGCAGCCATAAACAAATTTAGATTGAAGTGATCTGAAGCACAGTGGTAAAGAAATCTTTATAATTACTTTCTAAACCACTGCGTCAGCCTGGAGATATGTTAACAAGAACAGTCCCCCCGTTTGTTGTGCACTGTCCAACATATGCATAAATAAATATCTTGGAGTTTGTTTTTGATGGTTAGGTGACTCCTTGAAGAAAAAGATGATGAATTCAATTTGTTAATATTTCTCTGTCCTAAAAAAGAAGATATTATGGTTCTTAGCTGCTTGTTTCAATAACAGTTTGTCTACCACTCAAAACCACAGCCCCACATCTGTTCCTAATAAAAATCTATAATCAGCAATGCCCATTGCCTTTCAAAACTTATTTTCATCATCCCCAAACTATGCACAGACCTGGCCAAAGCTTATTTCTGTTGTCACCAAGACATAATGGCATTGCATTTATTCCAGGATAAATAAATCAACAGTGATTCCAAGTAGAATCAGTGTCAGCCACTTAGGCGATTGAAAATTTGAGCCTTAATTACAAATTGACATTTTCACTTATTAAAATGCTGGGGTAGGCAGGTTTTTTTGTTTTTAAGTTTATGACATTCAAACCTTTGTGATACTTTGTTTCAGGTCACAGGGCTAAAAGACATTTGATAATAAAAACAGTTCACATTTTCTGGAAAAACAGACTCTCAAAGCAGCAACCTTAAAACACCCTTTCCACAAGAAACACTTATTTTTAAAAATTGTGGACTTTGAGCCCGAAAGACAGCAGACCAGGCCACTATCTAGCAAAGAACTTCACCTGGAACTGGCCTGAGGCCTGCAGGTTCCTGGAGAAGAGATTTAGAAGCTGCCCACTGCCCCATTTGGGCGGACTGTCTTGTTGCTGTGTGAGAACCAGCCGGGGTGTTTAAAAACAGCCTTTAGAAAAGGATAGTATATAATTCCGGGTGAAAGTTTAGTGCCGCTTTTCCTGGCAGTGACAAACCCACCATATTTTCTTCTTCCTCTGAGAACAGTTGATCCTCGGTGTTTTTTCAGCTTTGAGCCATTTTTAAAGAGAAGCATAAGCTGGGAGCTTAAGCAAACTTCTGT